GCGGCCGACGATGCGGGTGCCGACGAAGACGATCTGGGTTATGAGACGGGGCGCCTGCAGGGGGGAGAAGGTTGTTGTTAGCGTGGCTGATCCTCAGGGTTCGAGGTCCAGGGAGAGGTGCCGGCGTACCATCTTGACGTCTGTGAAAGGTGCTCGGTGGTCTGGCGATGGGGTCGTCCGGCGGGGGCGCGATGGGCCTCGGGATGCGGGTTCGGTCGCGTGAAGGGGATGGTGATGGTGCCGACCTGGGAAAAATCCGTCATGGCGAGACTCGGAATGCGACGGCGGCGAAAGAAGTTGCCGATGAAATTCCGCGCTGACTAAGGGATTGCGTCCAAACCTTATGTAAGCGCACGTAGGCTGCCGACTCAGAGTTGGTCACGTGTCTCCAGTTCATCACGAATCACCGTGAACGCTCGACAACGAGTAAAAGAGCACCATTGGTTCCAAAGTGTTGTATCGATGCTCCAATGGAATGGCACAGGAGGCGTTTACCTCGTTCTAGCTCCTCAGCTGCGTTTCGAAATACATCATGCGTTGTCTGGACCTCATTTATGTTGCTGTCAATCACTTGGAGTTCTCCAAACGTTTCCTTTTGGGTGCCAGCCGTCGTATACTGTACCAGTTCGGAAACTGCCACTTGACGTTGCTCGGCTGCCAATATGTATAAACCTCACCAGCACATTTACGATACCATCAGCCCAGTCCTCTCCCGTCCACAGTACGATACACCAGCCCCGGCCACCGTCTGACGCGTATGGCAAGTAGCCATCGAGCAACCGACCTTCAAACAAATCATGGTGCGAAGTACTTGAACTAGACAAGTCCAAGCGAACCGTTCACTCTGGTCGTCATCGACACGTGAACGTCATCGAATACCACATCATACTGCCTGCATATGACACCGATGTACGCATCCGATTTGAGCACGATGACCATAGACGATCAAATGACAAGGCATTCACGGCTGCCATTCATGGTCTATTTCATATCCTCAAAATTTGGGATCCTCGCACAGATGGCCACATCACGCTTCGCCTGAAAGACGTATACTCTGGTTCGGACCATTGCTTTCTCTGTCGTACATCTCCTTTTTACGAACCCAAATGTAGTCTCTATCTAGAGGTCGACCCCGTAGAGCATTTCAAACTTGGCCTATGGAGCTGGCGATGACAATGCTCACACATACGTCTCCTTTGACCTTCCGAGTTGCCAGTCGTAGAAATGACCGCGTCTTTTGTGGTGCCAAATCTCACCAGACACATCACCGATCGAGTTCCGGTTGATATAGCTGCTAAACTACAAGACCTCCACAAAGCCGACTGGAAGATGAACGACTGGGAAATTCCGAGCAACACAATGCGTCGGCACCATCGTCGCGATCTGGCAGAAGCAATCACAGGCCTTCTGCCTCAGGCGTCCTCCTTGCAATCCTTCCGTTTGAATATGGAATCCATGTGGAATTGGACGCCAAGGTTTTCCTTCGATGCTCATTTGCTGGGTGAGTTCATCGTGGATCCGCTGAGCAACGCAATTCGTGCTACTACAAGGACCTTGCCCGCGTTCTGAAGTCTCACGATCCTAGGCACGATGGATGACTCAATGTTCTTTCCCGGACCTTCCCCTGCCTTGGTAGAACCTTACTGGCAGAGCTTGGAATGCCATACGGCTCACTTTGAGACGGGACCATCCTCTGGGGGCCAGTGTTTCTGGGACCCGAGCAGGCTATCTGACCAGTCCGATGACGATGACTTAACTACAATATCAGAGACAGATCTACCAACTCGTTACGGACGCGGCGAGGCTGAGGGCAGCCAGAACAACAAGCGCCTTTTCCTGTTGGGGCAGCCGGGATTCGTAACAGCGATCGAAAAGGTACTCCCAAATGAGGACTCACTGACGCCTCTGTTCGAGTCGTTTGGGCGGGCTTGTTCGCAAATCTCATCATTGAGAATGACTCAGTTATGACCAGTTATTCCTGGACCTCTAGAGGCTCTTGAAGTTGGACTCCTCGAGAACCGATTTCCATTGGGAGTCTGGTGCTTTAGTCCTGGTTCAGAGCCCTGTGCAAAATCTCTAGAAACACTACTAGCTTTTTCTGAAGACGTTCATCACAGAGGATTATAGTGGGATGTGCGAGGCTAGCTACCAAGTTCGAAGCTACAGAACCTCGTGAGAGATGCTGGGCGTCAGAGATACGGTAACCACTTAGTGGAAAGGTTCATTAATCTTGAAGTATAATTATGGCATCGTGAGTGGATGGAAATTTCCAATCAAACTACCTGAACTGGGCTCACGCAAAAGTCGTTCGATAGTATTGTCAACGCCGCTTGGAGCTTTGAAGGACAGCGACGCGTCAAGACCCAAGGAGCAGTCATAGTCATTCTAATGCCATAATAGTGATGGCTGATAATTTCATGAGCTTCTAATCTGTTTCTCGTTGCGAGAAACCTCTTAGTGTGATGAATCGACTTTGTACCGTACGACAGAACAGTTTGGTGTTATACCTGTCAGTGACTACAGTGAATCTGATGCCCCCAGAGTAGTGACCAACTCTGGGACTTCCGCCTTCTACACTATTTAATTCACCAGGTGGCCGTCATGCTATTATATCAACACTGATCAATGTTTATATACATCTCTTGTGTTTTCTCAGACTCCTCGGACGGCCATGCCCTTTAAAGACGAGGATTTGGACCCGAGTGCATAATCCCAAGCCCACGCGAAGTCTCCTTTAGTGGGTTTATGCGGATCAAAGCGGGGCGGCATGCAACACGCTTTTTCTTGGCTCCGCCAAGACGCAACAGTGTGTTCTCATACCTCCTCTGCACTTGTATGCCCTCCTCCTCCTGTTGTGTTGCACCCTGGGCATCTATAGACCAGGCAAAGACCAAATGATGAGTGAAGTATCTGAATGTCGCTTAAACTCGATTCTGCATTGCTTCGACATTTTGTGTAGAACTAAAGACCTCCACCATTATTGACAGACAGCACGCTGGCGGACACTAGAGACCTCAGCTCAGGACCCTAGTGGACTCTTCATCTATTGGAGGCAGCGACAAGCAAAGATTTCGACATCGCCAAGCTGCCAACATGGAATTCGGCAGATTCCCAGAATTCAGGACCGCTGATCCCTACCACTCTATAGGAACCCCACGTTGACATCGGGCTCCTGTATCATCCCGCCGGAATTCCCTAGCAAGAAATATCCCAGTGGTGGGATCGCATGCCCGTCTACTTGCCTACCCCTTTATTGAATTGGTTGATCACTGCCACTTTCGCAGCCTCACCCGTCAGCCTTCTTCTTTCGGAAGTACTTCCACTGCAATAGTTCTTGGCTGGGGTGTCCGCGTCATCCACAGTTCCACTGACCCAGTGCCGTGAATTACCTAGAGAGGTGTTCGTGGGGTTGGTCCTGGCCCGAATTTCAGTTCGGGTGCCCCGTCGTGTCGCCTGTTTGCTGGGATAACTCAGTTCAGAGCCGGTGAGGACGCATCATCATGCACCCGCTTAGGCAAAAGTATACTCTGGGCACAATTTCTCCCACGTGTCCCGTATCGCGTGGAGCAAGTTCTAGGTCAAGTTCCTAACCACAGTGTCCCGTCGAGTCTCGTTCCACCAACAGGATCCAGTGCAAACCCTGCAAATATCTCCTCCAATCTATAGAATCACTGTCAAGATCTGACAAAGCCATGGCGCCCAGTCAAGAATCACCCAGCGTTGCAAAAATCTGCCATAGCTTTCCAACGGAACGGCAAGCCTCCGCTAAGTAGCCGCGGTATAAAGGACTGAAGCCAGCCATCCCATAGATGCTATGAAGTTGCCAGCCCTACCCTCACCACACTTTCAGTCATAGTTCTGTATCCCCTTTTGCCCTTGTTACGTAGTTCCATCACGCTCAACATACTCTAAACTTACTCTTAGAGTAATTAAAGCCTCATAACCATGAGCTTCGCCAAGTTTTTCGTTGCCATCGCACTTCCCCTCGCTCTGGCGGCGGATATCTTCGTTGCCACAGACGGCAGCAACTCGGGCAGCGGTTCCATCGGTTCGCCGTTTGCCTCTATTCAAGATGCCGTCGACGCCGCCTCGGCCGGCGACAACATCTATCTTCGTGCCGGTACTTACAAACCGTCGGCCAATATCCAGATTCGCAAGAGTGGCACTTCCAGCAATCCTTACACCATCGCAGCATACGAGGGTGAGGAGGTTATCGTCGACGGTGATAGATTTCCCAACAACCCTGTCCCGTACGGTGGTGACCTACCTAACTCGGACCGTGGTGTATTCCACTTCGAGAAAGCTGATTACTGGCGCATGTACAACTTGACCTTCATCCACGGCCCGTACGGCGTCTACGTCAAGGATTCGCATAACAATTATTTTGAGCGCATTACAACCCACCACAACTACGAGTCTGGATTCCACCTCCAGAACAGTATTTCCAACACGGAGATTGCCTACCTCGATTCGTACATGAACGCCGACCCCCGCAAAAACGGCAAGTCGGCCGACGGAATCTCCCTCAAGGAAGGTTCTGGTGAGGGGAATGTTATCCGTGGAGCACGCCTCTGGGACAACTCCGACGATGGCCTGGACCTTTGGGAGTTCCTCTCGGACGTGACGATTCTCGACTGTATTGTCTACGGCAACGGCTTCAACCATTGGGGCTTTAACCCACATGAGAACGATGGTCATGGTGTCAAGCTCGGGGGCGGTTCCTCGGCCTCCGACCGTGGGGAGGTCAACCACGTCATCACGAATGTCATCTCCTTTGGCAACAAGCGTCGCGGGTACACGGATAACAACATGCCCGGCGACATGACCTTCACGCGTAACACGGCCTGGAACAACGGCGAGGAAGGCTTCAACACGCGTTCATCCATTGCTACCTACGAAGGCAACCTGGCCGCTGAGAACCACGGGTCCACCGACAATCATGACCAAGTCTTCCTTGTTTCGGGCGTCACGTCGCATGGTAACAGCTGGGACGGCAGCTCTAATTGGAGCAACTCGGACTTTAAGAGCACCAACATTGACCTCATCACCGGGCCGCGCCTGGCTGACGGCCGCATCGCGCCCAGCGATTTCCTCGCCCCTGCCAACGGCGATGCTCTGGGTGCCACGACCGAGTGGTCTGCCTAAGCTTGCCGATGGATTGAGAGCCAGGTGATGGCTGCAGGAGACTTTGTTTCTGATATCTGTGATTTTTCGATGTACATAGCTTTTTTGGCTGATTGAACTGAAGTTAAACCATACATTTTCCCTATGCTGTGCCACCTTGACACGCCTACCCCGTTTGAACGTTGCAGCCGTCCGCTTTACTCGTGAACGCTAGCTGCAGTCGCCATTGTGGTGTAAGTCCGAGTTGTAGCTTGTGTTCAACTAACTTCTCGATGTCGAGATGTAGAACTTCAGAATACTTCATCAGGTTCACAGGTCTATGGATTGGAAATGAATTTCTCCAAGGTTTACGTGAAGCAGTCATGTGTACAGGCATGATGGATACCATCCCATAACCTTGGGAATTCTGGCTTTGCCACATCAACAGCCGTCTTTCTTGTGGAGAACGTGGATGGCCAATTTGCGGTACATCCGCCGCACGCTTGCGATACCAGCCTCGTGGGACGAAGAACAAAGAAACAAGGGCGTTGGCGTCCAGACAAAGGCCGCCTTAGCTCGATCGCCCGAGCCTCGATGCAGCTGATCGTAAGATAATTTGCTCGCGGTAGGGTATTAGATGCCCCAATTGGTCGGAGTTCTCCTCGCGACACGAAGGCGCCTTGTCCAACATATTCCTTTCAAAGCTGATGCCGGTTTCCTTCGACTGCTGTCACCAGCAAGAAATCTTAAAAAATTACTGAAGCTCAGCCTTGGATGGGCTACACAATGACATGCTTCCTTAGTTCCCTTAGAGCGAGACGATCATCTAAATAGTAGAGTGTCTCAGTCAAATTAGTCGACGAAAATCAGCCTATACCCAAAACGGCTGGAGAGAGAATAGTTTGAAATTGAAACCTGCGTCAGCACCAGGAACCCTTGGTCTTTGTTCTTTCAGAATGCCCCCGATCCGTGACCCGGGCAGCCGGATGATGAGCTTGGGTCGCAGAACGCTTTAGCGGCCCTGGGTAAGACATGGTCACGACCGAAGCATTCTCATGCTGCGATGTTAGAAATCTTTCGAAGGTGCGTCAATCGGCAAACAATACAAGACTCAAAGTTCCATGGACAGAGCTGACCGGATCATGCAACGTCTCCAGCTACAAAAGGTGCTCAACGGCCACGGCTGAACCGCATCAGCCTGCCGGTCGGTGTCACGGCCCAATTCAGATGTAGTCACCCAGCCGCACGTCATACTTCTGTCGATATCTGCAACATTAATCAGGGCGAGCTGTAGGCAGTGCGGGGTCACGGGCGAGGCATGCGGCTGATGGCCGCTACTCCCAAAAATAACGAACCATCCACGCCCGAGGAGAAATGCCAAGCCGACCAGTAGGTGATCGGATAGAGCACAGTTCGAATTTGCTCGCACGGTTTGATTGTCGTACAACGGCAAGCCACTCAGCAGACACCGCCCGTCATGTCATGCAGGTCCCAACAGGAGTAAGCATGATTACTTCTGGTGGTGACAGGTGTCTGACCGTCACTCCCCCGACCGTGTAAGCGAAGATCTAGACGTCCAGGACACCACATTGATCTGCTATCCTTGACTCATGCTTGTTTCCTCAACAAGAAGGCAAGGAAATCTGGGGCTGACGGCAGGTGAGTGTTGGCTCCAGTCACGAATGCAGTTGCCCCTGGACACAGCGCGTGGAAATGCAAACGGGATCTTCAGAGGAAGAGTAGTGGCAGGTCATGATGACCATAAGTCACAATACACCCCGAATTACGTTTAGTTATTGGGTCTTTGGTGTGCCAGCTCGCTCGGTCTGGGCATCGTCGGCGTGTCTAGCGCCGTGACAGGTCGCCTTGGGCATCATCATAAGATCATAGAGTGAGCATCGGGTACTTCGGTCGTGCTCTACTTGACAGTAGGTGGATTGTCACGCATGTCGGCCAGGCGAACGGATTAGGGTTCTACGTCACAGAGTAAACATGCCTTAGCTGCAGGAGACTCTGCTCCACTGTCGTCGATCGAGCAGCTCTCTTTTGAATCGCGATTAGATTCAAGCTTACTATAGCGGCGTAGACTATCGAATTTCACCGCTCGAGGCGGTATCGCTCGACACTCATGCAGCCACATGGAAAGCGACGACAATCAGGTCTAGCTTCGAATTAATCTCGACGCTTCAACCTGCCATGCTTAAGCCCCTGAGTCTGTGGACAAAGAACTCAAAGTGGGGCCAAACAATGTGGCGTGTTGAGCGGGTAAGCTAGATGGTGAAGGGCATCCCAGCAGCCAGGGAGCTATTCGGGTACCCGTGCCGGAGCAAGGGGCACCACGTCGCGGGGTAAGGTAGCTGAAGAGACCAAGACCTGGGGTTCTTCTTTTTTTGGAAGGTTCCAGGTCCAGGTGCTCCTCTGGTGAACCTCTCCTTAGTGGCGGTGGCTAGCTCGGTCAGCACACCGTTGTGCTGAATACGAGAATTGGAGTAGGACGCTTTCTGATGGGACGACAGCTGGGTTCGGCCAACGTGGCTTGGCATCCTTTTCCAAGTCAGGCCCGCCAACGGGCGGCCAGTCGGGGCTGTCGAGGAAAAGCCGGCCGTCCGGACCATGCAGCATTCCAGGACTATAAAAGTTACAGTATGATGTATCATCAGCCCTAAGGCTGATGCTGTCATCAGTGGCTCGAGGAGTTGGCGACAACGACGCCAGGGGCGTGTGCTAGACAACACCACCATGTCGCTGAGTACGGCTGTGATCAGCCATCGGAGAATAGAAACGTAACACCAGCAAAGGAAGAGCTTTTCATCGGCCGGAGGCCCTCAGTGGCTTCACTAATACGAGGACGGTGCGACAGCTGTTCCTTCTTGGCACTGAGGTCTTGAGCCTTCGGCTGCGAGCTGATCCCGTAACTACTTGTCGGATTGAGTTCATGGTGGCTCAAGCTTTGCGAAATTGCCCAACATCATGGCAACATCCAGCCTAATCTTGCAACATCAAGCTGCACTAGTTCTGCAGCTCAATCTCAGCTCAATCCCTTGTGACCAGATGGTTGCATAAGCTTGCTAGCTGCTCAGCTCCCCCCTCAAGATAGCTAACTGCGTCCAGACTTAGAATCGATGGTAATGGCTGTACTTTATAAAGTATCGAACCGAGTTGCTCGCCCTACAGTCGGAAAAAGCAAGGTTCTTCCTCTCCAGCCAGATCCTATTACTCTTCTTGTCACTGAGGATCGTCATCATGAAGTCTACTTTGAAGCTCCTCCTTATGCTCCTGTCCATTTTCATGGTACAGGGGGTACTGGCTGCTGCTGCTGTTGTTGACCCACGGGGTGAAGTCACTTGCCCATACGCTCAGAAATGCGACACCAAATGCGTTTGTTAATCACAGGCTCGTCAACTTAATCTCTTACTGACTTTGAAAATAGTGTCAGCCCGACGAGAAATGCCAGTATGGCCAATGCACTAAGATTAACACCTGTCCTACAGCTCAGAAGTGTGGAGATGCCTGTGTAAGAAGCCATGTCTTGACCATCAACATACTGTCCACTAACTTTGTCTTCAGTGCACTACAGCTGAGACATGCGAATATGGTCAGTGCAAGACGAAGCCCGTCTGCTCCATCGAGAAGACCTGTGGCAAGGCCTGCGTTAGTATCCACATTTTAAGGCATTTGAGTCGTGCTCTGACGTCCCTTAGTGCAAGGATGATGAGACTTGCGAGTATGGACAGTGCAAGAAGAAGCCTACCTGCTCTGTCGAAAAGACCTGCGGCAAAGCTTGTGTAAGCAACGTTCCACCTTTAGCCTTTGGAAGAGTATTCTAACATCACTTAGTGCAAGGATGACGAGACATGCGAGTACGGCCAATGCAAGAAGAAGCCCGTTTGTGCCGTCGAGAAGACTTGTGGCAAGGCCTGTGTAAGCAAATACAACGCATTCCACCTGATGCCACGTTCTGATATCCGTGTAGTGCAAGGATGACGAGACATGCGAATACGGCCAGTGCAAGAAGAAACCTACTTGCTCTGTCGAGAAGACCTGTGGCAAGACTTGTGTAAGCATATCCTAGCGCCTCCCCTGAATGTCACGTACTGATGGCCACGTAGTGCAAGGACGACGAGAAGTGCGAGTACGGCCAATGCAACAAGATTCCTGTGTGTCCTGTCGAAAAGACCTGCGGCAAGGCTTGCGTAAGTTCTCCTAGGTGTCTCAAGCACTCTGATTCTGACAATGCCCCAGTGTAAATCCGACGAGAAGTGCGAGTACGGCCAATGTACTAAGATTCCCGTATGCCCTGTCGAAAAGACCTGCGGAAAGGCCTGCGTACGAACCCCTCATCCACTTAGAGGTCAGATACTAACTATCCCCCTTAGTGCAAGGCGGATGAAAAGTGCGAGTACGGAGCATGCCAAAAGATCCCTGTGTGCCCTGTCGAGAAGACGTGCGGTAAAGCCTGCGTGAGTACTTCTGTCTGGAGACTCTTCTTGGCATTGTCTGACTCTCTCGCAGTGCAAATCCGATGAGAAGTGCGAATATGGGGAATGCAAGACGATTCCTGTATGCCCCGTCGAGAAGACATGTGGCAAGGCTTGCGTACGTGACCGCGATCATCCGCTCCCCAGCACATGACTGACAAGCTCAAAGTGCAAGGCCGACGAGAAGTGCGAGTACGGTGAATGCAAGAAGATCCCCGTATGTCCTGTAGAGAAGACCTGTGGAAAGGCTTGTGTACGTAAAACCCCCATTCCGCTCTGCAGAGCGATGTGTTACTAACTCTCCACAGTGCAAGGCCGACGAGAAGTGCGAATACGGTGAATGCAAGAAGATCCCCGTATGTCCTGTAGAGAAGACCTGCGGAAAGGCTTGCGTGAGTAACTACCCTTCTTGATCCGCATTTTCGAGATGCCTGACTTTATGATAGTGCAAATCAGACGAGAAGTGCGAATATGGCGAGTGCAAGAAGATTCCGGTCTGTCCTGTCGAGAAGACATGCGGGAAGGCTTGCGTGAGTGGCGCGCCCCTCTGATCCGCTCCCGGCGACGTCTCTGATTCCCTAGCAGTGCAAGGCCGATGAGAAGTGCGAATATGGCGAGTGCAAAAAGATTCCCGTCTGTCCCGTCGAGAAGACATGCGGAAAGGCCTGCGTAAGTGGCTTCCTATTTGTTCCGTGAGCTGGCTAACCAGCCTGTAGTGCAAGGCGGACGAGAAGTGTGAGTACGGCGAATGCAAGAAGATCCCGGTCTGCCCAGTAGAGAAGACGTGCGGCAAGGCCTGCGTGAGTGAATCTGATCCAGCGTCAAGAGCCTTCTAACCAGTACCTACAGTGCAAAGCCGACGAGAAGTGCGAATACGGCGAGTGCAAGAAGATTCCCGTGTGCCCAGCCGACAAGACCTGTGGAAAGGCTTGTTGTAAGTCCGACGAAAAGTGCGAATACGGCGAGTGCAAGAAGATCCCCGTGTGCCCCGTGGAGAAGACGTGCGGCAAGGCCTGCGTAAGTGGTACTCTGTCGATGGAAAAGCGTCGCTAACCAGGACCTCCAGTGCAAATCGGACGAAAAGTGCGAATACGGTGCCTGCACGAAGATCCCCGTCTGCCCGGCCGACAAGACCTGTGGCAAGGCCTGTTGCAAGTCTGACGAAAAATGCGAATATGGCGTCTGCACAAAGATTCCCGTCTGCCCTACTGACAAGACTTGCGGCAAAGCCTGCTGTAAGTCTGACGAGAAGTGTGAATATGGCACTTGCACGAAGATTCCGGTATGCGCAGCCGACAAGACCTGCGGAAAGGCCTGCTGTAAGTCTGACGAGAAGTGTGAATATGGCACTTGCACGAGGATTCCGGTATGCGCAGCCGACAAGACCTGCGGAAAGGCCTGTTGCAAGGCCGACGAGAAGTGTGAGTATGGTGTCTGCAAGAAGATTCCTACTTGCCCTACCGAGAAGACTTGCGGCAAAGCCTGCTGCAAGTCGGACGAGAAGTGCGAGTACGGCCAGTGCAAGAAGATCCCGACCTGTCCCGCCGAAAAGACCTGCGGAAAGGCTTGCTGCAAATCCGACGAGAAGTGCGAGTATGGCATCTGCAAGAAGATCCCCGTCTGTCCCGTCGAGAAGACGTGCCGGCAAGGCCTGCTGCAAATCCGACGAGAAGTGCGAGTACGGCCAGTGCAAGAAGATCCCGACCTGTCCCGCCGAGAAGACGTGCGGTAAGAACTGCTGCAAATCCGACGAAAAGTGCGAATACGGCCAGTGCAAGAAGAGAA